TGGAAATACAAAGCTAAAGAGCCTGCATTCTGATTTTGTTCATTGCCCTTGTGTGTCTACATGATGTAGACTTATTAGAGATGATTGAGTTAGCCTTAGGCTGTCCTAATGGGTTTTCACTGGTTGTTAAAAATGCTCTTTGAAGAATCTAACTAAATTTTCCAAATAAACTGGTTGATTTATACTTACTGAGAGAGGAGTTCCAGTGCACCCACTCATATCATCAATTACAATATGTTCTGAAGTGTAATTTGCCTCGTGTTGATTAAAAGGCCTGTAATGATCTTTTCCTGCTGCTCAACACATCCTCTGCTGCCCTCTAATGGCTGCCCATTAGTAGCACCCATGGATGTCCATTTTACTACCGTCGGGGACCTGCTTTTCTCCGGCGTCCAGCCATTTATGTAGCTGCTGGGTCTGTGGGAGACTATCCCAGTAGAAAGAAGCTGGGAGGAGCTGCTGTGAAGGAAAAGCTTCATGTGATCCTATGATTGCACCACAAGATGTTGACATCAGGTAGTTGTGATAATGTTAGGATTCCTAGGTAAGTGTTTTACTTTACTGTGTCGTATGTTTGTTCATTTGTTCGTTCATTTATCTATCCATTCATTTATCAGATATTTTTTGAAGGCCAGGTATGTCCAGTACCTAGCCTTGCCTTGATCTAGTAGGCTCCTTATGGCTTTGTTAAATGAGTGAATTGATGAGTGAATAAATACAAAGATAGATAAGACTTAATCTCTGCTCTTGGGGAGACTAGATACCAGTTTAACTACTTGGTTGCCTTAGTTGTCCTCTGACTCTGTAAGATCTTGAGAAAGATGTTCAGACTAGAAGATGGTTACAATGTCAGTTGAAACCTAGCCTCCCCATATTGCTAGTCCTCAGAATTGATCATCCCTAACTGTAGAAGGGCTCTGTTTTAGGCAGGATTTATTTTGTACCTAGAAATGATAATTACTTTGGTAGTTCTTGGTTTTGGTGGAAGGTAACATGCAGTTATGGTTGCACATTTTTCTTTATATTCTCCAGTCTCCAAGGCAGTGCATCTGCTATAAACTCTGGCTTTCTACCTCCTTTACATTTAATAAATTGTGACTTGAAATAGGTCGTTTTAAATGACCATATATGAAATATGATGTTTTTGTTAAGCATGTTTTGAATTGTGTAATTCTTCTGCTCGTAGCCTGCTTTACTTGGCAGGTTTTTTAAAAAGTAAATTTTCCCTGCCACTTTTCATTAATTAATATCAGGTAAATCTCCATCGTTGGCTTCGTTCCTTGTTTGAGAATGTAATCCACTTAGATATATTTAGTTTGAATAAGTTTCTTCTTGTCAAAAACAGTGATCTGTATCTATCCCATGGGAGAGGAGCATGACTTGGTCTTTGTGTTACTTAGCATTTTATTATGGTGATGGTAATGGATGGTTGTATTTTGCAAGATTTGTTTTGTACATTATTTTAACTATTCTATGAGATATGTAAGATAACTAGAGATAAGCAAATGTGTTTTTTTATGGCTATGCTAACAACTTGAAAAACCTAAAACAAATAACTTTTGACAAACTAGATGTAATTGGAACTAGTGGTACAGTAATCATTATTTTTTATTACCCGTCTCTTTTATGACAACAGTGAAAGAGATTGATGGAAAGGAGACTCTAGAAGGGAGGAAGATATAAAGAGTAAACATTACAGCTTTCATTTCTTCATTGCTTCATGTTTTACCAGTCATTTCTTTTGATCTTGGCCCACACACCCAAAAACCTATGTTTCTCATTACTTTAAGTTACTTTTTCATCACCTTCAAGATGTTCTTTAAAAAAAAAAGCTGTTGGATTAAAAAAAAAAACAAGTTAGTGTTTTGCTGTGCTGAAGTGGTTCTGTAAAGTAATGGGAAGTTTGTATAGAGCATCTGTCCCTCAGGAGACAGTGAATAGTATAAGATTGCTTCTGGATGTCATAGTTTGCCAAGGTAAGTCTAGACCGGAGACCGAAGCCATCTCCTTTTTTTGCTTTATGTGGAGAACACAATGGTGAAAAATTTGGCACTTTTGGCATAAAGTCAGTAACCTGATGTGTAAAGCTTGTACAACACAGATATCACTCCAAGGGTCATGTGTGCTAATTTCTTATGCCTTGAGGGATCCTGGGAGTTCCAGATGTTCTTTTCTCTTGGGTGCTGGCTAACTGGGTTTTATTGTGGCAAGGCTTCAAACCTGTGTGTTGATGGGCATTTTCATTCAGAATAAGTGGCAACAGGTAAAAGAAAGAAGCAGCATTAAGTGATTGCAGACACGATCTCCTAAACTCTAAACTGCAGCTTTGCTTCCTATTCCAGTCAAGTTCCTCCACTGCCTAAAGAGAAGCCAACTCCAACTGAAGCAGAAAAGGGATATATTGGAAGGATGTTGTATAACCCACAGAATTGATGAGAAGGATGGAGAAGTAGACTCAGAAAATAGGAAGGAGCCAAAGGCAGTTGAGAATTTGTCCTCATACCGTAGGAAGAGTCTGGTTAGGAAGTCTGTTCTGTTTCTATGACTAAGTTGTTCTTGTATCTGCATTACTCTCTCAAGGTTGAAATTCTTTTGTGAGAGCATCCTATTGACAGCCTAGATCAGGCAGTTCTCTTGTTTTTAGATTTCTGGGGGTCTGTGAGGACAAAATTATTTTTATAGTAATTCTTAGGTATTATTTGCACCGATGATGCAAAAGCAATGGTGGGTGAAAGTGGTGGTGCCTTAAGCAGGAATCAAGGCAGTGGCTTGTATACATGTGTATACTCTGCATGTTGTCATTTTGCATATAGTCTAGGGCCCTGTCTTGTTCAGTAGGCCAGATGTCACTGCGTATTTTCAGAGCTGTTTTGTTGGTAAGCCGATAGTGCCTTGTGAGAACATCACTGCTGGAACAGATTGCCTGAGTGTAAATCCTAACTTCCCCACCCACTAGCTGTGAGATGCTGGGCGACATTTAACCTCTCTAAGCCCCAGTTAACTCTTCTGTAAAATTGGGATAATAATAGTACTTACCTTATAGAAATATTGTGAGGATTAAGTATGTTAATACAAATAAATCATTGAGAACAGTACATGGCTTGTAGTAAACACTTAGTACATGTTAATTTTCATAATCATTATCATCGTCATTATCAAGCTTTCCAATCCAGTCTCTGATAAGCTGGTCACAGGAGAAGGGACCATAGACGTGAATCTGAGCTGTCTGGTTCTTGTAGAGCCGGATAGCAAAGTCATCAGATCAAGGTATTGAGATGGAAACATGAAGTGCTGCTGGTTTTAGAGTAAAAATGTAAGATGTGCACTTTTCCCTCATGCTTCCTACTAATTGTATGTTCGCCCGGGCTGATACAGAACAAAAATGAATGGCCAGATTGCAAACAAATATTCAAGTATAAAACTTGAATGGGATATATCATATTGAGTTTGACAGCACGTTTTCTTTGTAGACAGGTGCAAATAGCGGTGATCGTTTTTTTTTAGTTGTATACACGAAAGCTGTAAAATAGTATACTTGTTTCAGTAGTCTTGCTTTGTCATTATCTGACATATTGAGACTACATCTTTTTTTTCTTGATAGCTGGGTTTTTTGGTTTTTCTTTTTAAAGAATACATTTTTGAAATCGACAAGGTTCATAGTAAGTGTTTGCTGAATAATATACTTTCATATAGAGTCACATTTTCTGCTCTGCTGGAAAATTATTTTTAAGGAAGTATGCTTTCTGGTGACTGTAGTTAATAATATTATATCGCATATTTGAAAGTTGCTAAGAGAGTAGGTCTTGAAAGTTCTCCTCACAAGAAAAAATATTTTTGTAGCTATGTATGGTGACAGATGTTAACTAAACGCATTGTGGTGAGCACTTTGCAATGTATACAAATATCGAATCATTATATTGTACACCTGAAAATAATATATATATATTTCAGTTGTATCTCAATTAAAAAAAAGAGGCTGTTAAAGAAAAAGAGAGTATGCTTTCACTAAATACAATGCAGTTTCATGGTCTCCTTGAAGGAATGCTCGCTATATTATAGTGGGCTTGAGGTGGGACGGGAGAAGGAGGGATAAAATGTGGTGGAGAATACTCTCTCAGACATGAAACTAAGTATAGGTGGATAATATAATTAAACATTTGATTTTCTTGTTTTGTTTTAAAGGTCCTGCTCTCCTCAAAATCCCGTGTTGGTAATATACTGGGCTGGCCAGGCCTTCAGAGGCCTGCTGTGCTAAAGCTCCCTTCTCAGGGAAACTGTCTGCCTTTAGCCCTTGCTGTATGGATAGTTCCGTTTTGTATTTAGCCATAACCCTTCCCTGTGGCCGGGTGGGCACTGGAAAACCAAACTAAGAACAGTGAATTATGGCTTGATACAAAAAGATGAACTGGGTTAATCAGATTTTTCCCTGGAGAATTTGAAAATACAAAATGTGGTGAGATGGAGGCAGTTACAGCGGGGGCAACTAATGAAACAGTCTATTAGGAAATATCTTGAAGCAAACATGAGGACAAGATACGTTACCATATGTCATGGAGAAGCAAAAATATGAGAAGTCAGAGAAAGCCATTGGAGTAGTGGAACTGAAAGAATCAGGTATTTGGAATTAAGCTGTGTAATCAATAAGGAGAGCAAAGGAGAGAAGCTTGCCTGTTTGATTGATTGATTCATTCCTTTACTCAGCAAATAATTTATTGAGTTACTGCTGTGTACCAGGCACTGTTTTAGCCCAAGAGTATTGCTCTGAAAAACAGTTAAGCCAATGATTCGCAAATGGCTGTAATTTTGCCTGCTAGAGGATATTTGGCAACGACTAGAGACGTTTTGGTTGTCACAGTTCCTTACAAAAAAGAACAATTAAATCCAACTCAAAATGTCAGTAATGCTAAGATTGAGAAACCCTAGGATAAGCCATCGTAAGTATATATTTTCATAGAATGATTATTATCTTGTAGTTGACATTTAACTTTCTGTGTTTTCAGAAGTGAGGAAGTTTGCTGGAATAAAATGGAGGCTTCAGTGATATTACCCATTCTGAAGAAAAAACTAGCCTTCCTTTCAGGTATGTTTTCTTCTTAAAATTGGAAGTGTTTGATGTGTGAACTTGTTTAAACTTTTTTCTTTGATAAGTTTGACAGAAATGCATTTCATTTTTCTTTGAAGGTTTGTTTCAAAGGTATTTCTGAGATAAAAATTTTTTACTCAGAATGGATGGTGATGTGAGCCAACTCTGTCACTGTTGGTACTTGGCCAGCTAATTTTTATTCTGTTCTATAATTTTATTAAAGTGACCTTTACAGGGTAGGGGTCATGACATCTCACTTCTTACATAAAAATGAAATAATTATGGGGCCATCCCAGTGGCATAGTGGTTAAATTTGCACATTTGCTTCGGCAGCCCAGGTTTTGCAGATTTGAACCAACACACCACTCATCAAGCCATGCTGTGGCAGCATCCCACATACAAAACAGAGGACGACTGGCACAGATGTTAGCTCAGGGCTGATCTTCCTCACCAAAAGAAAGAAAAGAAAAGAAAAACAGATAATTGGGCCGGCCCGGTGGTGCAGTGGTTAAGTTTGCATGTTCTGCTTCAGTGGCCTGGGGTTCGCCGGTTCGGATCTTGGGTACGGTCATGGCACCACTTGGCAAAAGCCATGCTGTGGTAGGCATCCCACATGTAAAGTGGAGGAGGATGGGCACGGATGTTAGCTCAGGGCCAGTCTTCCTCAGCAAAAAGAGGAGGATTGGCAGCAGCAGTTAGCTCAGGGCTAATCTTCCTCAAAAAAATAGAAAAAGGTAATTAATGCAGGCTAAGAATAATTGGCTAACTGACGTCTAAATAATTGTTTCTGAATTATAGATTGATTAGTTTTTGTGATATCCTGCATGATAGCTTTTGTTTTCCTTCTTCCTGTGAGAAAGTTTCAGTGTGCTAGAGCAGTTATGAAATATCAGTTACATGGTTTTCACTTTTAACTGTTTGAACTTAGTTATGCAGGCTTGAATTTACCTTCAGTTATTAACCCAAAGTCTGTATCAGCTAAAAGTCAAAGAGAAGCTGCCAGGTGTTTTACTAGAGTGAGAGCAGTGGCCTGATACCTTGGGGGTAACAATTTTCTGGAATTTTGGATTATTGTGTAAATTTTCACATGCTTTAGAATGGGTACTGTGGCCTGCCTATTTAGGATTATTTGGACTATATTACTTTGGTTTTTCTTCCTTATTCCTGAATTGTTTGATGTTTAGGCTACTAATGTCTTTTTTTCAAAGTATATTGTATCTCCTTAAATTGGCATGTTTTTCTAGTGTAGATTTTAAGGACAAGTAAGGTATTGAATTCCACTAGTATTATTATCTCCTTATTTAATATGTGTTTCCTTTTTTAAAAAACGTCTTCCCTTACCCGTTGACACTGACATTTTCTCCATTATTTTCTTGTGTGAGTGGTGAAGTGGTGTTGTAGGAAACCTTATTCGTAGCTTTGTGCATTTTTTACAAGTCCAGCAGTATATATTCCTATAAGTGAAAGTGTTAAAGAGAATTTACGTTTAAATTTGTGTTAGGTTTTGTCAGATTGCCCTCTAAGAATATTATTTCAATTTCCGCTTCTCACACCAGTGTATGAAAATACCTATTTACCCACACTGTTGCCAAGAGTAGGCAATATTATTCTTTTAAAATCTTTACCAGTGACATTTTGCATTGTTACAACACTTGTCCCTGTGCAGCACTTGACCTTGTTGACCATACCTGTCTTGAAAGTCTTTCTCCTCTTGGCTTCTGCCCTCTTTTGCGTTTACACTGGTGATTATGTTATGGTCCCTGTGGAAGGTGAGGGCACGAGGTTAGATGTAGTCCTGAATGTTAGACTTGGCCTCTAACGACAATTCCACAGTGGGTCAGAATGTGACAGTCCAGAGAGAAACCTTTCTGTGGATTTGGTTTAATGCAGGGATAAAGCTTAGTGATTTTGAGGAGCAAATGAAATTTCTCTTAGCCTACTCCTCTTGACTTCTTTTGTTGACTGTTAATTATTTCAACCAGTAATTTCCAAACTTTTTTAGTAATAGAAAAGCTCTTTTCAAAGCAGCAAGATCAGGGGACAGTTTGAAAACTATGGTGCAATCCATTTAACAAAAAATAAAAACCTAGGGGCTGGCTGCATGGCATAATGGTTAAGTTTGTTGTGTTCTGCTTCGGCGGCCCAGGTTTGTGGATTTGGATCCTGGGCGCAGACCTACACCACTCATTAGCCATGCTGTGGCGGCAATCCACATATAAAGTAGAGGAAGATTGGTACAGATGTTAGCTCAGGGTGAATCTTCCTCAGCAGAAAAAAATAAATAAATAAAACCTATATTCTAAACAAAAAACATGCAATTACAGTCATTTATCTATTAAATTGAACCATTTAAATTGCTATTTATTGAGACTAAATAAAGTTGTTGAATATTAGTCATTTATATGGTTAACTGAATGAGACAGAAGATTATGATTAGTACATCATGAATTGCATTCATGTCACTCATAGGTGTTTTTTTCGCTTCACACCTTTCAGTTTTTAGCTAAGATTTATAGAGATCATATAGAATTGTTCCTTTATTATTTGCTGGTTTTTAAGCTTATAAAATTGTCATAAATGTCAGTTGGGTCAGAAGATGGGCTGCAGCATGAAAGTCCATCATGTGGGGAACTTTCAAAGAAGCTGTGTATAAAATAATTAGTTACATTTTAATGCTTATGGAAAATTGAAGAGGACTTGAACATACATGTGATGTAAGTGCATTCCACTACCTGGCTTTCAGGCTTCATTAGCTAGGATCCATACTCTCAGCTTTCTCTTTATTGCCTCGTGAATTAGAATGCCTCTCTGACCTTTGTGAGTTAATTCAGATCTTTCCTTGTCACAGAATGCTCTTTTGACTTGGTTTATAAATTCTACCCATTTTTCTTATGTCTTAACTTTTCTATAAAACTTCTCACATTTATCACAGCTCTTATCATTTTCTCCATTTTCTTTTTTTTAATTATGTATCACTCACTGACAGTGATAGGAGATATCTTTCTTATTTTTTTGTTGTTGTGGAAGATTGGCCCTGTGCTAACATCTGTTGCTGATCTTCCTCTCTCTTTTTTTTTCATCCCCAAAGCCCCAGTACATAGTTGTATATCATAGTTGTAGGTCATTCTAGTTCCTCTTTGTGGGATGCCACCACAGCATGGTTTGATGAGCAGTGGGCCGTAGGTCCACGCCCATGATCTGAACTGGCAAACCCCTGGCTACCGAAGCAGAGTGTGCAAACTTGACCGCTCGACCACGGGGCTGGCCTGTTCCATTTTATAAAGCCCTTTAAATAATATTTTATATATTTTGTGCAACAGTCTAGAAAATAAGCTGTCATATTTCATATTGTTATTTCTTATAACTTAAAGCTTTTCTTCTTAGGTGGATTGGAAATTTATTTTACTTGTAAATGCTTATCGTGCTAGGCACACAATAGGTGCTTGATGAATTGATTATATTAAGAAGAGACTAAATGGAAGAAAATTAAACAAAATGATAATTGCTATGTTTATGTGTAAATTTCATGGGTGAAATTTTTCTTATTTTTTCAGAATTTTGTATGAATTTTTTCAGAATTTTCTATACTACTTTTTTACATTTACAATATATAAAATAAACAACCATTAGTTTTTACTGATGTCTTAAACTTGTAATTGTTTTAGTAACATTAGATCTAAATATATATTATTCATTTAGTGCTTTACTATCTATTATGTGTTAAATTTATATATTTTTTCTCTAATAGGAGGAAAGGACAGACGAAGTGGCCTCATTCTGACAATTCCATTATGCCTTGAACAGACAAATATGGATGAGCTGAGTGTCACCTTAGACTACCTACTCAGCATTCCAAGGTGACTTTAAAGGTGTCTTTTCTTAAGTCTCAATATGTTTTCATTCACTTACTAATGATTCCTGCTATTGTTAAAATATACTTTGCTATCTTATCTGCTTTTGTTAGCAGTGAAATTATAATTAAAAACTCTGCAATCAGTAATATGTGCTACTTATTTTGTGCTCTTCTTGCACTGAATAGCAAAGATACAGATTTCCAAAATATATCTACAGTCAATTTTTAAGGAACCCAAAGATTGAGCATCTATATACCATGCAACTTGAGAAAAGTTAATTCAGTAGAAAGCATCTTTTATTTAAGTAGCTGTTTCACTAGATATAAATATGTTTGTAGATTTTAATATATTGAGTGAAGACTATTAGAAGTTTAAAAAATATTTTTCTTTTAAAAATGAAAAAAATGTTTGTATTTTAATACAAAGGTCTTGGATTTTTAATTTTTCTATTTCTTGAGTCAAGACAAAACTTAAACCCCTCTGTTTGCTCAAGCTGACTCATCACTTCAACAACCAAAATAAAAAGCCCCTCCCTGACTTCTTCTCCCACATGTGATATTTGGGGGCTGAAGTGTGACTGCACGGGAGAATCATCTGGGAATTTTTTTCAAAATCTAATGCTTGAGATCTGCCTCCAGAGAGTATGATCCAATTGCACTTGGGAGGCCTGCTCATCAGACTTTTTTAAAAAATCCTTTAAGCTTACCTGATAATCTAATATGCAGCCAGATTTGCACACCACTGCAATAAAGCATGAGAATGAGGGCAGGTGTTTTTGTATGTTTGTAAAATATAAAAGTGCAAAAGGAACAAAAATTATCCTTTATGTAACGCTCTTAAGTTCCGGAGAGTAAATTTTAAACGTTTTAGTCAGAGCAAACAATTCTTTGTGTCTTTTTCTTATATTTGCATTTTGTTGACATGATAGATTATTTCATTTTATTTTTATTTTATGTTATTTATTTATTTATTTTCAGGGGAAGATTCACCCTAAGCTAGCATCTGTTGGTAATCTTCCAATCTTCCTCCTTTTTTTCCCCTTCCTTTCTCCCCCACAAAGCTCCAGTACATAGTTGTATATAGTGGTAAATTCTTCTGGTTCTTCTGTGTGAGCCACTGCCACAGCATGGCTACTGACAGACAAGTGGTGTGGTTCTGTGCCTGGAAACTGAAGCTGTGCTGCCGACGCAGAGCATGCCAAGCTTTAACCACTAGGCCATCAGGCTGGCTCAGATTATTTCTTTTTAAACCACGTTGCAAAGTGCAGGGTTAAAACTATATCTTAGAACAATTGACTTTAATCACACCTACTTTCAGTATTGGTCTATAATTTAATGATTCTTTTGCTGATTCTGTTTTTCAATATTGGGGAAGTAGAGGCCTTCAGGGGAATACTTTCAATTTTTTCACTTTCTGGAAAGGAAAGATATTAGACCTCACAGTGTAATGGTTTTGAATAAGCTTGCTAATTCTCTGAGCTGCTGATTGCTAATTTGTATTATTCACCATTAGATAACAAACTGCTGTTTAGGTGAATAAGACTAGCCAGACATATAGTTAACAAATTGTGAAAAAAAAAAAAAAATCACAGGTTTATAATGGTTATATGTGGTGAGGGAACTTAGAGACCATCTGAACCACCTGTTTTATTTTATAGTTGAGAGAATTGAGACTCAGAGGTTAGAGTTACTTGCCCAGGATCGCACAGCTAGTCAGTAGAAGAGCTAAGACTAGAATCTACGATTCCTGACACCAATCCAGAGCTTTTCATACTTCAGGTGAACAGAGTATAGTGTAGTTGCATCTTGTGTCAAGTGAGATTCTGAAGTTAGAATGTAATGCAGAAATTATTGGTAGTCAAAATTACCCTTGAAAAATGCCTAAGGAAGGATTAGAGACTCATGTACTAGTTTCCCATGAACATGCTGGATTTTCCTCCAGCATTGGAACATGTCATTGAGGCTAAGGTCCTGAACACAATTGGCTTGTGCTTAGGTTTGTTGTGAGAAAATGCACGCTTGTATATACTAGAATCATGCTCAGCCCAGCAGGATACTCACACTGTGAGAGGCACTGTGTAACAGGCAGGCTAAGAAATCAGAAGTTTCACTCACGTCTCCTGTCTGTCCACTCTGGGTGTGCAAGCAGGAAGTAGTACAGTGGAGGGCAGAATAGCCTACACTACTTAAATTTTCTCTCTCTCTCATGTAAATATTCATAAGATGCTATTCTAGTGTAAATTGTGAATCAGTTTCTGCATATCCCCAAGTACCTGCCAGCCATTAGAGAAGATATAAGTTGAAGCAAGATGACAGAACTTATTCCAGCAAGGCAAAATAGATACCTGGATACTTTATTTTTGATAATTGTTTAAAGTTTGGCCTTATCAAATATTTGTAAACACTGAATTGTTAGCCTTCTGTTTTCTTGGATCACCTGCCTATATCTTTCACATTTAAAAATGTTGGCAGCTCTGTATCGGTAATTGCTGTTTCCTTAGAGAGCTAGAGTGTTTCTGAGCTCTTCATTGCAAATCTGGGGAGCAGTTTATTAGGTGTGGTGTTAACTGATTTTTCTCCTTCAGAATGTCCACCATTTAAAACTTCTTTTAAATTTTAATCCCCCCCTCAACATTTTATTATGAAAATTTTCAGATATACAAAAAGAAGTTGAAAGAATTGTACAGTAAACCCCAATATGCCCATCACTTAGAAGTCTGCAACCAGCATTGTACTTTATCACGTATCTATTCATTTATCCACCCCTCTTTCCGTCCTAGAACTGTTTTTAAGTTTACCCTGTCAGGTTGGGCTCAGCATGTGTCTAGGAGGTTTTTGCTTTTTTAGTGTGTCTTCATTTTTTTCTGTAACCTGCTTGTGTCTCCCAATCTCCTACTGTTAAAGTTTAACTCCTCCAGCTGTGAACGTCTCTGGACAGTTCTAGCAGTGTAGTTAACTAATGTGGTCTCTAATTCCTTACGGGGATGTCCAAAAGTGGTCTCTTTTTGCCATGAACATGTTAACATTTTCAATATAATAATAGCTTTTTAAAAGTTATGTAGGATGTGAGGGTGATCTGGCTGTGAGATCTGTCACCCCATTGATTCCAGGGTTGATTCGGCTGATCTGGCTGACTAGATGGGTGTCCACTTCCTCCCTCACTGCTCCATGTATGTCCCTCCTGAAGCTTCACCCTTGGTCCAAGAAGATGACCTTCCCTGATAGAGGAGGCCTGTTCTTCAGTCAAGGGAATACGAAAGCTGCGCTCCCCTGCTAGCACCTCCAAACAAGCTCTCATGGTCCCTTTGTAGGAGAACGGAGGGTAGTCAAGCTTCCAAGACTCCAGACACGTCCAAACAAGGCACTTTACGTGGCAGTCTGCCTTGCTTGTAGAAAAAGAAAAAGATAAAAATAGATAAAACTTATGTCAAAATGAAAAGAAACTATTTAGTTTCTTATCTGTACGTGACGCTTACTTTTAATGACCATGGACAAGGAGTGATATGTACCCATTATACATGGGTAACCCAGCACAGTTGGGAATGGGGGACTTCCTGATTCCTTTTCACATAGGTTGGCCCTAAACTTGTTTTTTGTTTGAGATTCTTGAGTAGAGCGCTGAGAAGAAAGGAGAGGGTCAGGTTAATTGCAGCCTGACCTGAATACTGAGTTTATGTTCAGGTAACTCCTCATGTCCAGTCCTATGTGGAGTTCAAGACTAATCATTGCTGCCCCATTTTCTATAAAGGACCCGTCATAGGTTTTAATAAAGAACAATAAAGACTGACAAATTTGGGCCAGCCTGAGTGTTAAATTTTAGGAGAGGTAAATGAAATTTTTCTTTTGTTTTCCCAGCTATTGTTGTACATTTTAGACATAAACAACAGGATCAGAAATTATGAGTTGATGATTCAGAAAGCAGAATCAAATTCAAGATTTCCTTGTGGAGGTAAAGACAAGAAATATAAATTAATCTACAAATTTTTTGGTTAAAAAACAAAATACTGAGATTAGCACTAGCAAAAACCTCATGAGTAGGTCTTTATCTCATTTTATTACATATTTCAAAATTTTAAATCAGGAGCATATCCACATTCAATGCATAGAATGAGATTTGATTTCAGTCTATTACATGAAGAGTGATTATAAGATATTGAGATGACCTGCTTTTTAAAAACATGTGGCAAAACATACGTCACTGTTTTTCAACCTTGTCTTCATTATTACCTTCGTGAGGAACCCTTTTAGACAAGTTTTTCTATTCACTTCCACTAGGTGTTATAGTAGTTTATGGTTGAATTTATGAGGTCCTTGAATGCAGAGCCACATCTTATTTGCATATCCACAATGACAGTAAAAAAGGTTTGGAGACTTTGGATGTTCATTATATGCATATTGAAGGAACCAACCAAACTTGGCAACAAAGTCATAGAATTGACCTAAAATATATCATGAAAGGAAATATAACAGCTGTGTAGTTCTGTAATTCTTTAAAATGGTGAAATTATCGTTTGAATGTGATACACAGTTTTGTAACTGCCAATATTCAATAGGTAATATTCTAGGCATGAGTATATTGAAAATATTCTATGTTCTGTTTGTTTAGAATTTTTAAGTCTATGGGCATCTTTGTTCAAAGAAAATTTTACACAGAAGTCAAATACAGGTGGTCCTTGACTTAGGATGGTTCAACTTAGGATTTTTCTACTTTACAATAGTGTGAAAGCCTTCAGTAGAAATGCTATTTCGAATTTTGAATTTTGCGCTTTTCCCCAGGTAGAGATATGTGGTAGGGTACACACTCTTTCATGATTCTGGGCAGTGGCAGCAAGCCGCAGCTCCCAACCAGCCACGTGATCATGAGGGCAAACAGCCATTCTGTTTCACTTACCTCCATTCTGTACATTCATACAACCATCTGTTTTTCACTTTTAACACAGTATTCAATAAATTACACAAGATATTCAACACTTTATTATAAAATAGGCTTTGTGTTCAATAATC